TGGGGGATGGGTCTGGGGTCTTGGAGGGAGGCTGTGGGCTCCTGGCAGCAGATGCCGTGGTTTCTGCACACCTCCAGGTAGTGTGGGTGCAGGAGAGGAGGAGGCAGCAGGTCCCAAGCAGGTCCCTGTGGCCTTGTTGGCAGACACTTGGAGACTGAAGCCAAGACAGAAGAAATAAGCTCGGCCCTGGCCTGGCCTTGCTCGTGTTGTGTGCTTTGTGCTTTGTGCCATGGGCTGTGGGCCGTGTGCCACGTGCCACGTGCTGGGCACTGGCGTAAGGAAGTGGGAGCCGCTCCGGGCCTGAGCAGGATGTGCACGTCCAGTGTCAGCCTGTCTGCTGTTTCCTTCTTTTCTAAAAAGTAATGGATTTTATTTTGATTTAAATGTGATTTTGTTTTTCTCGTTCCATCATTTCAAAAGCATTAAATAAAATGGGATTTCTAGAAATTGTTATTTCTGTTCTGCTATCGGTCATGAAGGCCAGTCTTTTATACCATTACCTCCAAAGTGGTTATACCATTTTGTCCTAGTTTTAAATAAATAAAAAGGAAGATAGGACTTAGGGTTAGTGTGGTGGCTTTTAAAAAATTTTCGCTATAATGAATAAATCAGTTTAGCTAAATGATAGACATCCTCACGATACAGAAATGAGTGGTTGCCCATATTAGTAAAATTTAGAAATTGTTCTGGGCAATACAATTTATGGGATCTTCGGGATAATGGTGATTTGGGAAGAAGTGTTGAAAATGTTGGGAAATAGTTTTGCACTGTTTAGAAATAACTGGAGGGAATCTCTTGTGTCTCAGCTACTCAGGGTAGTTAACAGTGATGTGGATTCATCCCTTCTTTCTTAAAGCGCTGGAGCGTTCGTTCGTAAAGTGACTTGGGGCGGCCAGGGCTGGGGTCTGTCTCCCCTCTTGGTGGCCCCTGTAGCCCTCCACGCGGCATCCTGAGCCTTGGGGAGGTCCTGGAGGGGTCACCATAGCTTAGTGGGGTTTCTGTCCTGGGCTGAACCCGTGCACCGCCACGGCAGGCTGTGAGTGTTCGGAGTGTCCTTACCATGCCAGGAGCCGCAGGCTCACCAGGTCACCAGGTCTGGGAAGGTCAGGTGCTGTGCCGTGGGATGCTTCTCTGGGTTTGGGTTCCTGAGCTGGGCTAAGGAATGAGAGCAGCTGTGGCAGTGAGAGTCCAGTTCCCCTGGCTCCCGCACTCCGTTTTGGCCACGCAGGGCCATGGGAAGGCGAGGTGGTGACCTCGTGTCTGGCCGTAGTCCCCAGATGACCCGAGAATCGGCTTTCCGGAGCACCTGACTAAGTGAAGTGCTGCCTGTTCCAGGTACATCGATCAAGGTCGGAACCCTCAGCTCTACACCAAGGAGTGCCTGGAGAGGGCTCTAGCCAAAAACGAACAAGTGAAAGGCAAGATCGACACGATGAAGGTGAGGCTCGCGGAGAGCAAATGCTGTCAGAATGTGCACTTGTGTGGGTGACAGTCCTGCTGTTCTTCTGTGTGCCGGGGAGGACACTGACGATTTCCTAACAGCGCATTGCGGTCACACACAATTGGTAGCCTCGCCCGGGGAAGACCCAGGTTAACTTGGTGACTGTGGTCATCGCTGGCTAACTGTGGCTGTTTGCAGTTAGGACTGCTCGGGAGCTTTGCCCTGGATGGTACCGATGCTCTTTGCTCCTCCTTTCTGATTCTGGCTGCCCTCCCACAAGGAGGACAGACGACAGCTGTGTGAGTAGTGAGCCCCCAGGTGAAGGTGACCAAGCTGTCCCCAGCAGCCCTGTCTCCCTGGTGTCTGGCTGTCTGGCCTGGGCTTCTGTGAGCTCCCATCTCTGGGCTCTGGCCCTGCAGGGACGTCCTGCGTCAGGGACCAGGAGCCCTGGCTTTTCTGCCCCTCCCCTGTGGCCCCGGCGCCCTCCTCTGAGGGTCTCAGGTCTGTGTTCTGTGGCCGCCCCCTCCCAGCGGAGCTCTGCGCTCCATTCTAAGTAATAAGTAGTCGCTGTAGTGGTGGAGTGGAGGCGCTCTGGAAATGGACTTGGAGCTGGCCTAGCAGTGCCTGTAGGAATGGGCTCTTACCTGCTGTTCCGGTTGGACCAGACAGACTTGGCAGTGAGTCTGCCCGGAAGCCACAGTGTTGGCAGCAGCCTCCATCCGTCTGTCCATCCGTCTGCCCAGTGTTCGGTGGGCAGGCTTCGGATTGGAGCTCCTCTCCCCACCTGTGCTGCGGCTGCAGATGCGCTCTCGTGACTGGCCCCAGCCCTGCATGCACGGGGCGAGTGGGTGCACGGAAGCTGGCCCCTGGCCCCCGGGAGGAGGGAGCCTGGTTTCCACCCCTTGGCCTGGCTGGACTTTGAGGGCTCTTTTGGTGGGTGTCATGGATCCCAAATGCAAATGTTTTGACAGTGTGTATTTTTCTTCTTAGAAATTTAAAAGCCTGTTGATTCAAGAGCTTTCTAAAGTATTTCCAGAAGACATGGCCAAGTACCGGAGCATCCGGGGGGAGGACCACCCGCCATCCTGTGTGTGACAGCCCAGGCCCGTGTGACTTCCTGGGGCTGCTGGGACTGGGCTGTCCCCACCCCGACCATCGTGTAGCTGTGGGATGGCCCAGCTGGAAGAGGCCTGAGCTGTGGCCTGCCGCCCTTAGAGGTCCCGGTCAGTGGGGAGACGGCACTGGAAACAGTCTCGAAATAGACCATGGGCTCGATGAATTGAAAGTTTAAAAATGCCATTTGAATTTTTTATATATTCTTTCTGTCCTATCCTACTGTAGCATCAGAAAGCTAAAAAAATTGGTTTTGTATTTTACATCTTCAAGTGCAGTGCATAAGACTACGTAACCATAGTTTCAATTAGATGTGTAAAGTCTCTAACTGTTGTATGGCTCGTTCCATGTAATTATTTTCTTCATATTTTTACAAGACAGTGCAGCGTATCTTAGAAAAACTGAATTGTTACTTCCCCAAAGTGTTACTACTATTCATAAAGCGAATTGTTTTCTCTAGGCATTTGTTTTTTTCTCCAATTCTTTGGAGGCCCTGAGAAGCACACAGGAATGGTCATCGCCAGGCTCTTGGAAGGCGGTCCCCGCACTGCACTGCCGCTTTGGGGTACGCTGCCGCCCCTCAGTCCTGGGGAGCCTGCTCCCGATGGCCAGGACCCATTCCCCGAGGGTAGAGTCCCAGGTCTGCGCCCCGCAGTCAGGCTTGGGCTGGGGCGGGGACATGCGTGGGTTCTTGCTGCCCCCATGGCCTGGCCTGCTGACAAGTGGCCAGTGTGGTGGCGTCGGGTAGCATGAGGCCACCTCCTTGCTCTGGGCCGGAAGTCAGGTCTCTGCTGAAAAGGGTCAGGTGTGCTCTGCTCTGGAAGCTGTGGCTCTCAGGTTGTGGCCTCTGACTGCTGTGCAGTGGTGATAATGAAAGTGCAGGAGACAGGCCACAAGCTGCGGTGACCTGCACCCTGGGAGGCAGAGGCAGGAAAATCACAGGTTTGAGCCCAGCTTGGGCACTTTGGCAACTTAGTCCTTGTCTCGAAAGCAGAGAGACTGGTGTCACAGCTCTGTGAGAGGGCCCTGGTTCAGTCCCCAGTCCCACCCAAGTAAACAGCCGAAAACCCCCACAACACGCTGTTCAGGAACCATCAGCGGAGGCGGGATATGTACCGTGAGAGCTCCTCGCAGCAGCTGCCTGGTCCTCTGCCCGTTGGCTTTCCTGCCCCTTCGGCCTTGGGCTTCCTTGGGGGCAGCCCGCCTGATCCTACACCGGCAGGCTCATCCATCTCGCGGCCCCAGGTACCATGTTGGGTCAAGATCCCAGGTTCACACTCTGCCCGTCCATCCCTGAGTCCTGCGTGTCACGACCCACCTTCTGGTTTCTGTCCATGAGACTTCCCAGGAGCCTCAGACCCGGTGCCCAGAACTGGACCGACTTCTTCCACTCCCCTCATGTCCCCCAGCAAACGGTGCCACCTTCTGTCCATCCCACTTGTGTCCTAGCCGCAGAGCCGTGGGTGCGTCTCCTGAATTTCCCATTTTGCCCTTTCTCCCTCTTGACCAACTCTCCTGGCCTTGCATCTCCCAGTCTGCCATGTGCATGCCCCATGGATGCCAGTATCACATCTCCCCCTTGGCCCACTCAGGTTGTGGGGTGAAAGGCTCTGACAAGGAAAAGCTCCCCAAAGCCTCGAGAACAGCAGCCCTGCCGAAACCTTGCTGTGAGGACCTGTGGGTCCAGACGTGCACGGAAGTAGATTCCCACTGTTAGGTGTGTGGTAGTGTCTTACAGCCCCGACGAGAAAGGAACACGGGATAGAAGAGGCCAGACTGCTTTGAAAACACGAGTGTAGTTGTGTTGTAAGAATGCCTCAGTGTCCTGAATTGGCGGTCATTTTGACTTTGGGGAAGGGCCAGAAGTAGCGGGGTGTGGGTTCAGTGAGTAAGCTTGGTGAGGATGCACTTACCCTACCAGCCTGCCTTTCCATCAGGCAGGCGCAGCAGCAGCAGCATTCACCATGTTTTTGATCCTAAAGACTCAGGAAAGAGGACTCCAGAACTGTTTCAGAAAGTGGCAAGGACGATGGGATAAGGATGTTCCGAGTGACGGGGGGGTATTTTGAGGGAGAATAAAAGTGTACCTTTTACTATAATAAAAACTTTAAAAGTTCAACATTGGCTATATTTTTTGATCACCCCTGTATGATAACCCTATACTGGTTATACCTGCAGCTTGTCATAGCCCCATTTAACCTAATCTTCTCACAGCTCTGTAGTACTTGTCTCGAAAGCAGAAAGGCTGGTGCCACAGCTCTGTGAGAGGGCCCTGGGTCAGTCCCCAGTCCCACCCTTAGTAAACAGCCTAGGTGCATAATCAGTGTTCCACAAGACAGTCTGCAGAGGAAGAATTGGAAGTAAATCTCCTTTGCTGTCACTGGAGATTAACAAGACAGCGATTGTTCTGAGGAGGAGCCCTTGCGGGGGAGGTGGCAGCTGAGAGTCCTGTGTCCCCAGCTCCCTGCTTGCTGCTGGCATGGGTTCCTGGGGCTGCCGTCCAAAAGGCCGTGCACTGGGCTGTAACGTGGCCTGGATTTGCCCGCACCCCAGCCTAGAGGCCAGGACTTCTCTGTGGTCTTGTCTGCGCTCCCTGTGACAGCCTCTGGAGGCTCCTTCCTGCCTCTTCAGCTCCTGGGCCAGGGCCTCATCTTTCCTGTCTCTGCCGCGTCTCTCCTCTGGGATCCCCTCTCTTGATCTTTTTCCAAACACGGCTTCAGTCAGACTCCCAAGTGGACATAGGCTGTGAGGCGTCACTGCCCAGCTCTGTCCACTGCTGTGTCCTTGGTTCTGGCCATCAGACACACCTCTTTCCCAGGTTGAGTGGTCTTGCCGGGCTAGGCCAGGTCTCTGCTTCAGGCTGCTGGGGCTCAGCTGCTGCCCATGGCAAGGAGGCCTGCTCTTCCAGCTCAACGTGCATGGTCCAAGAGTTGCAAGAGCAGACCAAGCCTGGAGAGACGCTGCCTTCCCACCTGTCCACACACAGGCAGGAGAAATTATGTCTTCCCTCTGACTTGACGATGAAGGAACAGTCCTGTGGGTGGCGGTGGGAACCCCAAGGTAGGACAGCAGGAGTCATGGACAGCTTTGAGAGTCACATGCTTCAGAAAAACCTCATTATTGCAAGTTTGCTGAGGGTGGGGCAGGTGGAGATGTGCAGGGATGACCAGGCAGTGTAGGAAGGCAGCTGGGCACCTGTGGCACCCATGGCGTCATTGGGTGCCTAGGGTGGGGGCATGGAGGGCATTCGTGGTCTCTGGCAGAGTGAGAGCTGGACGCTCATCTGGCTCCCTGCAGGGGGAGAGGCCACGAATGAAGACGTGGCTCCCACCTCAGATCCTAGTCCCACGCAGACACCAGGGCTTTCCTCCTCTGGGAAGCACACTCTGAGATGTGACACAGATGGGTCACTGCGTTTTGGGAAGTTTGGTGTGTGTGTGGCAAAGAGATGGGACGAAGGTGTCCCTACGTCTGAACATGTCGGGAATGCAGGAAGCCGGTTCTGGTCTCGGCTATTGTTGGCTGCAGTGACTTCCGTGACATGGACCATGCTGCTCTGTTACACAGTGGTCGATTCTTCATTCTGGCTCCTGCAGCGACAGCGCCCCCAGACGTCTGCACACACCAACATCAAGCAGACTGAATGGCGGGGCAGTTCTGACCCGAAGTCTGCATCTACTCGAGGTGTTTTGTAGATAGGACATCATCATCTTGGGTGAACAGTTAACCCTTCTGTTCCTGCAGGGCAGAAGCCCTGGCTCTGGGCTGGGCGATGGCTGTGGCTGGCTGCGGTGCTGGCATCATGCAGTGCCAGGCCGAGTGGTCCTGGGCTCTCTGTTGGCCCTGAAGGCTTTGTGCTTGCTGCCCCAATGGGCTTCCCGGGGCTGCTGTGTCAGATGGCCTGCATTTCAGCCTGGGGTGTGAGCTTAGGAGCTGCTGTGGGGCCACAGTCCGCACTTCCTCCAGAACCACTCTCCAGAACCACCCAGCTGACCATTTGAGGGTGAGCTACTACCTGGGTGTATGCGGCTCAGAACGTGGCTGTCCTTTCCCCTCGGGGGCCTTCGCAGCCAGGGTCCCATCATCTTCTGATGTTTGGCCATTGCAGTGCTTGGCCCCTGAGGCAGATGTGTCAGCCTGAAGGGTCGGCTGTGGGAGGTGCACCCTCACACAGAGGAGGCCTAGGTCCCTACTGCCGACTCCATGGAGAGGCCTTGGTCCTATCCTCAAACTGCTCTGCACTGTGACCAGCGGGCGCCCAGGACCCAGTCACAACCTCCAGGCTCTGAGCGAAGGTGCGATGGGTGCGGCTCCCTGCAGGCCTCCGGAAGCTGTGCGTGCATCGCCAGCTGGCTGGAGTTCAGTCTGCTTTTTGTTTTCGCCTCCCACTTTCCATTCTTCTTTCTTCCTTTCTTCCCTCCCTCCCGCTCTCTTTTTTGATACTAGGGATTGAACCCAGGGACTTTATACTCGGCTACACCCCCAATTCATTTTAATTTAATTTTTTGAGATGATTTTTCTAAGTCACAGGGCTCTCTGGGAGACAGTCAGGTTTCCCAAAATTAGCTGATACCTGCAACTTAGAGGTGCAGAGGGTGATTTGGGCTCTGTTTCCAGTGGGTTCCATCCATGATTGGCTTGCTGTGAGACAGAAACAGGATGGTGTAAGGGCCTGGGTGGAGGAAAGATGCTCATATCATGGTGGCCAGAAAGCAGAGAAGGGAGGAGCTGGGGACAAGAGCACACCCTTCCAGGTCATATCCATTGATGTCCAACCAGGCCCCATGTCCCAGCATCACATTCAGCTCTGAACTGATGAATGGATGAACCCACGGATGTATAGCACTTCCGGACACAGGAGACCTTTGGGAGCATGTTAGATCTAAACCATCACAACCATAATGTCTACAATGGTGCAAGACCAGAGGGGTTCCCTCCTCTGGGTGTCCTCGAGCAGCACACTGGCCTAGGCCCTCCACCAATCCCAGCTGTCCTGCTCTGGCCTCTCCTGGTGGGTTCATCTTCGCTTCTGCCTAGAGCAGCCCGAGAAGCTGCCCAGGCCCCTCACGACTTGACTTACCAGCAAGCAAGCAGCTGCGGGCCCAGGTCTCCAGGTGCAGGGATTCCCAGAAGCCCACGGGAGCTTCTGCAGCAGGTGACTCGCATGGAGAGTCGTGGCCTTTTCCTTCACAGCAGCTGTGTGGGACTCAGCCTGCTAGAGCACCACACTGTGTGCATTTTCAACATCTTCCTACCTCCCCCGAGGCCTCTGTCCTCACCTTCCTGGTCCTCCTGCTGTCCCCTCCCTGAAGGCTGGGGTCCCAGGGAAGCCACCCTCTTCTTCCCGCTCTCTTTCCTTTCCTCCTGAGGACTCCAGCTTTTTCCTGAGCCTCCCTCAGTGGCCCGCAGGGCTGAGGATTAGGAGAAGACGGGTCCTCCTATGTCCTCCCCACATCCTCTGCCCCGATGACCTTCCAGGGCCCTTTTCCCCTGGTTCTGCATTAGGGGGAGATGCACATTGTCAAAGTGCCCTCTGGGCAGCCTGTTTGCTCAGTGGCATTTGATTTGGAGAAACGTGCAGACAGGAGCACGAGCATCCACCCACGGATCTCAGAAGAGGCCACTGGGGCCTCGGCTTGGTGGAGGTGGGACTCTGGGAGGCCTTTTGCATCAGTGTCGGCCTGTCCATTTGGGGTTGGGACTCGAGGGGCAACAGAGTGCTGCCTCACCCCACAGGGACACTGAGTGCATGGTAGGGAAATGGGGGAGGTACCCCCTGTGGTATAACCATTTCCTGCCGTCCACAGTGGCGGGGGATCGAGCCCACCTGTTTTTCCTCGTTTCGCTTAAATACTCCTTTGTTTGTACAAGCTCTGCCTCACACGGCCAGCACTGCTGTTGCATGGCCCGCTCCCCGGGGCGTGCAGGGGCTCTTCTGAAGAGCGGAGAAATGCTGCACCTGAAGACACAGCCGAGCCAGGGCTTGCGGCTGGCACCTGTAGCACTTGCTGCAGGTGTGAAGGGAACCCGGGAGCCGTGCCTGCCCTCTGCTTGGGTCAGGGGACCCCGCGACCCTGGGACCTGACACCTGGCGGGGGGGCGGCCAGAGTCTGTGCCCCTGCTCTACCTGTCCACCTGCGATAGAGCTGGGGGAATCGGGCCCCGAGGAAGTGGGGTGTGAGGTGACTCTGCCCACTGGGGCTTCAGGACCTCTGGGATGAGGTGGCACCGGCCGGAAGTTCTGTCCCAAGTGGAGCCGTGAGACTGACTGCACCTGTGACTGTCGCGAGCCGCGACGTCAGGATCCTGCCAGCAGGTCCTAAACCTGAAAGGACGAGGACAGAGACGGGAGGCACCTTTCTTCTCAAGTTCCTTGCTTGCTTGCTTGTTTACTTGCTTTAGTACAGAACCTCTCCCTTTTATACTCTCCAGCTGCATGGGAGCGAGGGCTGCACGGGAGGGAGAGTACCGCCCACACATCCCAGAGGGAAACAATAACAACCATTATGGGTTACATCTGCTACCAGCTGAACTTGCCCGTGGCTATGGGCGAGAGCACGTCCGTGCCAGCGAGG